CAATCCTTTAGTGATATTCTTGGGTTAGTTTTAAGTTACTGCAATTCTAAGCCTATGTCACTGTTTTATTGCTTTGAGTATATCATATGTCATAAATATTTCTTCGTTAGTTTGGCTTGTTTTTCATCAATCAGCACTGCTCAATCTAAATATTGGCTTCCTCACCCCAAGGTTTGCTACAACCTTTACCCATTCCGCAGTCCATTTGGGTATGATTCAGTATTGGTGGTGGTTGATCAATTGAGTAAGTATGGACATTTTATCGCCCTAAAACACCCCTATTCAGCCAGGTCCGTAGCCGAAGTATTTTTAAAGGAGGTGGTGAAGCTACATAGAATTCCTTCTTCCATTGTCAGTGACAGAGATCCCACCTTTATGAGTTTGTTCTAGAAGGAATTTTTTAATCTTCAGGATACTAGATTATTGATGAGAAAAGGAGGTGGCGAAGCTACATGGAATTCCTTCTTCCATCGTTAGGGACAGAGATCCCACCTTTATGAGTTTGTTCTAGAAGGAATTTTTTAATCTTCAGGGTACTAGATTATTGATGAGAACAACTTACCATCCTGAGTCTAATTGACAAACTGAGGTTTTGAATAGGACTTTGGAAACCTATTTGAGATGTTTTAGTTCCGAACAACCAAAAACTTGGAGTTCCTTTCTACCATGGGCTGAATATTGGTACAATACTAGTTTCCAGGCGTCAGCCACGTGCACACCTTTTGAAATAGTCTATGGTCTGGGGATTTGATGGAGGAGGATCTGAGTCTCAAGGATCTTTAGTGTTTTGAGTTTGAGATGGTCTCCGACGCTGATATGTGAGAAGAGGTGGAGGAACAATGTCATTCGCATTTTGAGTTTTAAGTACAGAAGCAAGAATAACCAAGGGATCACATGATGGTAGAGGAAACATTTGTTGAATAGATGAACGATCCTCCATGGAGGACAAGAAAAAAGGTGTATTCTCAAAGAATGTGACATCAGCAGACATATAATATCTCTTGGTGGAGGGAGAATAACATTTATAGCATTTCTGAAGACAAGAATATCCAAAGAAAACACACTTAATAGCTTTTAGAGAGAGTTTATCAAGACCTGGAGAAACATTATGTACAAAACACATACACCCAAATACACATGGGGAGACATGGTATAGAGTGTCGTTTGGAAAAATGATAGAGTGAGGAATTTTATTCTCAAGAGAGGTAGAAGGCATCCTATTGATTAGAAAACAGGCAACGAGGACAGCATCGCCCCAGTGATGCACAAGAATATTAGTATTCAACATCAGGGAGCGTGCAGTTTCAATGAGATGTCAATTCTTAGCATTATCACTTCGGAGGATTTTAATTGTCATCCCAAATTGGTTCTTAATTTCATTAAAAAAGGACATAAATATGGACAAAAGTTCAGATCTCTCTTTCATTAAATAAACACAAGTACATCGAAAGAATTCATCAATGAAGGTTACAAAATAATTAAAACCAAACGAAAGTAACATGACTTGGTCCCCAAATATTAGAGTGAATAGTTGAGAAAGGAAAATTACGTCACGTCTCAGACCTTTTAGGATAAGAAGATCCAACATGTTTTCCTAACTGACAAAACTCACAATCTAAGACTTGAATTTCTTTGAGACTCGGAACCATCATTTTCAGCTTGGACAAACTTGGATGGCCCAAACGATCATGCAAAAGTTTTAAGGATGATGTTGTAAAACAGGAAAGTGAAGAGCTATGTTTTAAGAAATAAAGTCCTCAAGACTCATGTCTTTCTCCAATCAGACGACCCGTACCATGTTCCTATATAACAAAGGAATTAGCAGTAAAGGTTTCAGAACAATTTAACGAACGAGTCAATTGACTCAAGGAGATTAAATTGTAAGGGCAATAAGGAATATACAAAACAAAATTTAAATTTAGTGAAGGAGATAAGGAAACTCTGCCAATTCCTAGAGATGCCAGTTTGGATCCATTGGCAACGGTAATGAAATGAGGGATTTTCGGAGAGGACATGTGTTAGGAATGAGAAGAGTTGGAGAGTTTATGAGAGAAGGAAAAGAAGGAGTTAGTTGAGCAACCCAACTGTTTATTACAGTTGGGTAGGGCGGGAATAGCTGTTGTATAAATAGTAGAGGGGTTAGTTGTTTGAAGGACTTTTGACAGTTGTTAGTTAACCAGAATAAGCCTGTGAAAAGGGGTTAAGCCCTTGCTATTGTGAGTGTACAGACTTGACATTGTGAATAATATCCTTTTCTGTTACTTTCTTTCTTGTTTCTTGGTGCCTAAGTGTTGTTTCTAGAGGATCTCGAATAGGTTTCTTTATCGGAAACTTATCAACATGGAAGAAAATTGAAGGAATGTTACCAGAGATATGGTCTGAGGCACGTGAGTCAAGGATCCATGGACTTTGACCTTCCACAGATTGAGATATGTAGGCATTTGACACATTGAACATGGAGGAGGATTGGCCAGGATTAGAAGATTTTCCACACATGTACCTCAAAAATTCTTGGTACTTTTCATTTGAAATTCTGGATTCTAGATCATCAAATTTAGAAACATAAGCAGCTTTGTCTGGATATCCATGTAAGGCATAACATTTCTCTCGAGTATGGCCTATTTTCTTACAATATGTGCATTGAGGACGCATACTACGACCACCACATCCTCCTCAGTTGCTTCTGCCTCCTCCTCTTCCTTGTGGTGCTACCATAACTGATGTTTCAATACCATCAATTGAATTTTCGTCTTTAAGTAATGAAGGTACCCGAAGAAGTCGAGTAACTAGGTTGTCCATTGATGGGACTTGATCACCAGCTAACATTTGATCACAAACATGATCAAAATCTGAGTGTAGACTTCTTAGAATTAAGACCATGTAAAACTTATCNATTCTGTTACTTTCTTTCTTGTTTCTTGGTGCCTAAGTGTTGTTTCTAGAGGATCTCGAATAGGTTTCTTTATCGGAAACTTATCAACATGGAAGAAAATTGAAGGAATGTTACCAGAGATATGGTCTGAGGCACGTGAGTCAAGGATCCATGGACTTTGACCTTCCACAGATTGAGATATGTAGGCATTTGACACATTGAACATGGAGGAGGATTGGCCAGGATTAGAAGATTTTCCACACATGTACCTCAAAAATTCTTGGTACTTTTCATTTGAAATTCTGGATTCTAGATCATCAAATTTAGAAACATAAGCAGCTTTGTCTGGATATCCATGTAAGGCATAACATTTCTCTCGAGTATGGCCTATTTTCTTACAATATGTGCATTGAGGACGCATACTACTACCACCACTTCCTCCTCTGTTGCTTTTGCTTCCTCCTCTTCCTTGTGGTGCTACCATAACTGATGTTTCAATACCATCAATTGAATTTTCGTCTTTAAGTAATGAAGGTACCCGAAGAAGTCGAGTAACTAGGTTGTCCATTGATGGGACTTGATCACCAGCTAACATTTGATCACAAACATGATCAAAATCTGAGTGTAGACTTCTTAGAATTAAGACCATGTAAAACTTATCAAGCTTCTTGTTTATGCCTTCTAAAGAATCAGCCACATAAATTCTTCAATTCCTCTACGACAGCACGAGCCTTTCCTATATGAGCGGCCATATCATGATTGGCTTGTTTGAGGTAAGTCACTCTTTGAGTTGCATCAAAGAGACGTTGCACATCATTAGCAAAGATATCCTGTGCTCTTTTCCAAAAGGAGGAGCCCGTTTTGTAAGGTCTCAAAATTTCTAAGACCTCTTGTGTGACAAATTGACATAAGACACTACATAACTGAAAATCAAGTTTTTTCCATTGAGATTTCTCTTCATCGGGTATAGTGGAAATATCTTGTTCAAGATGATTAGGTATCCTTGACCAAGAAACCATAACTCCACGGAAGAAGACCAAGATAGATAATTTTTCCAAGTGAGTTTTGCAGAAGTAATGGTAGAGGTAGCCAATAAAGGTGTTCCAAAACCAAAAGTCATTCTAAGGCCAAACAGAAGAGGGAAAAACTGATTTTGAGGGTAGAAACCCTAGATCGAAGCTATTGTCAACGAAACAGCAAAACAATGACCACAACACACTTAGGAGACTGAGGCAAAACGACTGACAATGACGCGGTGATGTTCCAAGGCTGGCCAGAAAGAAGCGGCACGTGACAACACGTCAGGAGGAGAATGAAGCGGTGACCACCAGGGATGGGTCGCGCTCATCGAGGTGCACATAACCCTTGACTTCACTGGAGAAAAAGTTGTGGCGATAGTGGCAGCAGACAGCAGCTGCGAACAACGGCAATGGAGGCGGACAGCAGCAGTGACGGCGAACAATAGCAGTGATGGCAGCGGCAGCGGACATGGGTGGCAGTTAGCGATGCTAGATACCAACTTAAAGAGTTGGAAGAGAAACTGAAATTTTTATTATTACTGTTCACTTAACCCTAATACACATACTACCCTATTTATAAGGGATAGTAGATCAACACAAAAAGAAAAAACAAAAGGCTCCTAAAAAGCCCACTCTAAAAAACCCACTAGAAAATACATTACATTTCAACATATTGTATCCACACAATAGAATTCATGAACAACACCATTTTATTAGAATTTAGACATGTTATGATTTATATATCCCCTCCCATTATCAAAAGAAAAACATATATACTAGAAAGTATATTTCAAATGGGACATTTGTTTTACTTTTATTTTATGCAATAGAAGAACTTTACAATCAAATTTACAAAATTACAAACTCAAACAAAATTTGAAGACTAAAACAATGACATTTTCCTGTATAAGCAAAAAATATCATACAATTTACGAATGTATTATGTTTTTGCAAAAAATTTAATGTGTACAACGACAAGTCAAATTGTAGGATTATAAGTAGAAGTGGCATAAACAAAATCTAACCAGGGAAAATTATCCATTTGAGAAATTAATTTATTAATTTACAAATACAAAGATAAATCAAAGTATAGGATTAAGAGTACATACCACGGGTATAGGCACAGACCAACCTTTTTCAGGACACCAGTCCAAAGATGGGCGCAAATCCTTGCTTAAGGCTTCATAAGATAACCCTTCACCCAGTGGAGGAGGAAGCAGATTAATCTAGAAAGACACATACTATATGTGAATTTAAGATGCTCATATAATACTAAAAGTACATCCAGACAAGTATTGTTCAATGAACAAGACACAAAGGTAAAGTTCATTAAAGAAGAAAAAGGTGTGAAACAAGACACAAAGATGCTCACCATGTGTATGCCATTTGCCAAAATTAGCAGCAAAATGATAACTGCAACTATTAAATGAACCAAAATATATGACGGAAAAATTGAGATGATAGAACTGAATGGCCTTAAATAAAGTATTTTAAACTAGGAAAAATGGATCAAACAATGTCAATGTTCAGTTGAAAATACTATTTATACATCGACAAACTGCAGAGACTGGATTACCATCAAGTAAGGAAGGGACCTGCAGTGGCTAAAAATGACAAACTACAAGGACTAAATTGCCATCACTGACTGGTGGGGCCTGTAGTGGCGGAAAGCGACCAAACTGCAGGGACTAAACTGCTATCAAGTAAGGATGGGGCCTACAGTGGCTAAAGGAGAGAAACTGCAGGGATTGCCATCACTTACTGATGGGGCCTGCAGTGGTTGAAACATACTCTCCCTCACTGAAAACGACGGAAATGACGGCACACCGATGACAAACTATGAAGGTGAAAGGTAATAATGGTCTCCTTTATTCATCAAAGCATCCAAAAACAAATTTGATAAGGGGATGGTGAAATTGTTTGGCTAAGATTCTAAATCTTGCCAGAAATAGACTCCCCTCATGCCATGAGCAACCTTCAACCCATGACTTTGGAGTTGAAATTCCTTGGTGTTAACCCGCTGATAGCACTGACTCTCCTTGGAGACTTGTAAATAAATGACACGAGCCATTAAGAACATCACAGCTGCTACAATATGCAAAGCTAAACACACATTATGAAAGGAGGCTAAGGAACAATGCTGAAACAGAGAGTTATTTTTTTTTTCTTCCTCTTGAAGACTTCTCTCATCCCATCTTCACTTCCATTCACCAAGAGATCATGAGTCTTCAATTCCATAATCTCCATACCTTTAAGCCTCATGCGGAGCACTCAGAGATACATTCACCTACCAATTTCCTTCATCACCATGCATTCTAAAACAACAACCAACCAGGAAAATACCCAAAATCCAAAAACAGATTTGTCATCACAGTGGGTTGCTTCCTTCACAGGCACCAAGCCTAGGCGCAAGGCTCACCATCACCCTTGAAATGTCGAAGACAGGTTGGAGTGACCAAAGGAGAAGAAAACCAATGGTGGCGTACAAGGAGAAGAAGAAACCAAAATGCCACTAAGATAACCATGGCTGGATTATGTGGTGCGTCAATGAACAGACTTGGATGACTTCTATTGGTGGCACTTAAGTGACGCAAAGCGGGTGATGAAGAAGCAGCCATGCCTCCACCATTCCAGAATGAAAACAAGAAATTGGGGATTTTCGATTTTAGGGTTTTCAGAGAGAAAACTTAAAATACCATGACTTCAAAATTAGGAACCACGGATAAATATGGACTCAGCATGATTTGGCGAGTCAGACAATGATGAAACAAAGGAGATTTGAAGGACTTAGGGTTCCAAAACAATCAAAGGAGAAAACCCTAGGTCTGAGTTACAACCACCGAACCTAAGAAACAAGGACAAAAACGAACTCAAGAGGCTCCGGTAGTGGCACAGTGTCACTCTGACATCGGAAAGGTGGCACGTAAGGAACATGAGCCCGAAACTGATTGGAAAGAAGTCGGGCGTGACAACTTGTGTAGAGGAGAATAAGGCAACGACCACCAGGGATGGGTCGCGCTCCTCGACACCGTCGGGATTGGCCATCAGTGAAAGGAGGCAATCCTGATTCACTAGTTGCAGGACTAAACTGTGGCAACATATGGCGGCGGACGACGGTGAACAGTGGGAAACAACTAAAAAAGGCACTAGAAATATCTAAGATTATTAGGAGAGCGGGACTGCTCATATAGGTATTTCATAAAAGATGAAATTTTTAAGGCTGCCAGTGGCGGCAACAAAGACAGAGTAGGAAGAGACTCAGATAACCTGCTCTGATACCAACTTAAAATTGAAACTGTAAAATAATTCTCGAGGGCTTAATTGATCCCTATCATAATCTTCTATTTATAAGAATAAACTGATACAAGAGTACATGATAAATAGGATAATCCTAGACACAATATAATCATGATAAATAGGGTAACCCTAGACACAATATAATGATGATAGATAGGGTAAATATTGTAACATTAACATTAGATACTCTTGATATTCTTCATCAGAGAATTTGGAGTCCGCAGTTTCTGCCTTAGAGACATGGGCAGTCTTGGTAGGAAAATCATGCAATGTGAAGTAGTTTTCTTGGGTATGACCCATCATTTTACATTGCGGGCAATGAGTTCGCCCCTGACCTCCACGTCCTCCTCTAGTATTTCTTCCATGAACTTCCTTGCTTTGAGGCATTGGAACTCAAAGGAGACATGTGGTCAAGCTTTCAGATAGGATCTAAGGTAAGAGGATAGAAGGAAGAGGAAATGAGAGAGTAGTTAAGAAAGGCGGGAAAATGAGAGAGCGGTTAGGAAAGGCGAGATGGGAGATCTTATATAAATAGAGTTCTATTCATTGTTAGAGGGCAGCTAATCATATTCTTTTGTTTAGACAGGTCTTGGACCTTGTGAGGGGGTTAAGCTCTCGGTAGATGGAGGGAGGTTATGCTCCCAGATACTGATTGTACGCTACTTTCGTTGATGAGAATACAGATAATTCATTCTTTTCCAATTGTTTTTCTTGCTGGGATTGTGTGAGTGAGTTGTCAACGTTAGGTTTCATACTCAGAAACCTAACACTTTCCATGGAAGGAACCTCATGACTGGTTAACATTTGGTCTCTAAGATGATCAAAGTCTAAATGTAGAGCACGAAAGATCATCACTATATAGTATTTGTCAAGTTTCTTCTTTATTTCATCCAAAGAATCTACTTCTAAGAACATATTTAGTTCTTCAAATGCAAACTCAGCTTCGATCATAAAAGATACCATATCAAGGTCAGTTTGTTAAAGGGGTGCAAGTTTGTTTGTAGAGTCACAAAGATGTTGGATGTCATTTGCATAAATATTTTGAGCTTTCTTCCAAAGAATGACAGGTTTTAAAAGCTCTAAGAGAAATAAAAAGCTTTAGTTCCACATGTTGCTACAACAGAGCAAAGAGTTGGAAATCAACTTGCTTCCACTATTCAGCCTTCTCAGGAAGCACATTGCTTCCGTCTTGCTCAAGGTGGTAAGGATGACCTTGACCAAGAAATCACATTTCAATGAATGCCAACCATGAAAATTAATTTTTTCCATTTAAATTTTTAGTGGTAATTGTAGGATTTCCAAAAATAATAGGTCCAATAGACATTTTGAAAATGGATTTTGAAGACAAAAACAATAGTCTTTAAAGGAAAAATTTGGGTTTGATAGAAATAAAAACCTTCAATCGACAAGTAGGATAGAATCTCTTTGTGACTAAGAGTCTACCAAAAAATCCCAAAACATGACACGAGTGAAAGAAACGTATTGGGAATGCTTTGGCGAGTCAGACGATGGTCGTTTGAAGATCTGGTGATTGGAAGGCAGCGCGTGGGCTTCACCTGCCTCAAGACAACATCGGTAATTGACGCACATGACAGTGTGTGGGGAGGCTTCTTGCTCTTATCTCGACAGGGTTGGTGGTCGCTTGAAAAGGTGATCATGATCCAGTGGTCACCGACAAAAACTACGGCAGTGGTCGATGACAACGATGGCAGACATAGCAATTGGCAGCAAAAAATGCACCAGATATGACAAATTAACAGATCAAGATCAACCTGCTCTGATACCAACTTAAAACAATAGAGAGCGAAATTATATTTAAGTCCTAGAGGAGCTTAATTAACTCTCTTCTTAATTATACATTTATAGGGCTTAATAGCTAATCAGGACGAAATACAACACACACACAACTAAGACTCCACTAATTAACTAGCTCACACAGTTGTGTGCACATGGGTTTAATTATTCTAACAAAAACAAAATACAATTGCTAGATCTAGTGTTGAAGTCAAACACTATTTTATGGTTGCAATTGCATTTGAGATGACATGGCATAAGTAATTTCAACAATTACAATTTAGAGATACTTATGAGGCTAAATTGATTTGTGACACCAAACACCACTACACATTGCATCTAATCTAATCTTCCATGCACAAACCAAACAAACACCACTACACATTGCATCTAATCTAATCTTCCATGCACAAACCAAACACCTAGAGATAGATTACTGTTTTGTTAGAGAAAATATGCTTTTAGGAGAACACTAACTTTGTTAGTTCCACTTATTAACTAGCATACATTATACAAAATATCTCAATTCTCAAGTAGACTACTTTTACAACAAGCTTGGCTTATGATAATATATGCTAAAAAGGGCAGGTACAAAAGATCTTATTAGATGTTTGGAAATAGGGAAACTTGTAATAAAGATCTTTTTAGATTTCTTCCATGTATTCCTTATTTTCCTTTCTTACATGGTCAACCATAAATCTAATATGGAATAACAATTGTCGTTGGGCCAACTAAGCCCATCTATTTTAAGGCCCTTAATGAATCCCCCCAATTCGACCATGTAAACTTTATGAGATGCCCACTTCTTAGCATGAAAGAGTATGTTCAGATCCATTATCAACTAACGGTATGACTAAAATAATGTATATAAGTAAGGGTGAAACCTCTCTATACGAGTTGGCTTTCGAAGTTAAGTTAGGCCTGGACCTAAACTAGAATAAAATGAGACAAATAATTGAGGAGAAAATCTAAAGTGTAAAATCTATTGCATAAATAGGGCAGAACTAGCAAATAGTGCCAAATAATGTCTACTCTGGCTGTTATAGCTCAAAAAAAAATCCAAATAAGATATTGAATCAACACAACTTGAAGACAAATAGTATTACCTGAACTTTATCATTCCCCAATAATTTAGTTACAGTTCCAGACCAATAGCAACCATCGGTATACCAATCTACCAAATCCCCAACTTTCCATGTGTTATTAACAATAACAGTCATTTCTGATATGGCATTCACATCAAGCTTTTCACTTTCACGAGAGAAAGTAGGGAATGAAGGTCGCAACATCAGTTCCTTGTTCAAGCCCTTTGACTTGCCAATATTAGTTAGAGGCTTTTGATACAACTTGATCCAACTTGGCTCTACAAACAAGTAATGCAATAGTTATAACTTCAAATGAATTATTACCACTTCCAACTTTTATAGTAGTTATCAGTGTGAGTAAGGGGGTTTACTTATAAACTCCAAGGATTAGAGCTCTCCTGAATTTGTTAGAAACATTTGTGTAATTAACATATTTATCAATTTGGATAGAAAAACATGGCACCTAACAATTAAAACAATATAGAAGGATATTGTTGATAATAGACAATAAACAAAAATTTACCTATTCAATTAATTCGTGAAATAATTCTTGTGTCCAAATTTCGCTACAACAAAATTGATTCAATTGATAGTTCCCTTGCCCAGTTATCATGCAACCTCATTTCATATGAATTTATTATGATATAAACACAATAAAATAAAAGCCATTTATCATATTTATTTCTTCAAATCACTTAGTTTTCTCTCTTGTCCAACTTTCCTTCAATTTTTATTCATGCAAATGTTGACATGTTTCCTAGTGATAAATGGTCTACTACAGGATATTGTGTTTTTCTGGGAGGAAACATTATTTCATAGAAAAGTAAGAAACAGAATGTAGTAGCCCAATCAACAACTGAAGCCGAGTATAGGACAATGGCGTCACTAACATGTGAACTTATATGGGTGAAACAATTCCTTCAATAGCTTAACTTCTATGACATCCATTCTATGAAGATGTATTGCGATAATCAAGTTGCTCTCCACATTGCATAAAATTCAGTGTTTCACGAGAGGACTAAACATATAGAAATTGATTGTTATTTTGTTCGTGAAAAGTTGTTGACTAAAGAAATATGTACTGAGTTTGTTGGGTCAAACGATCAACTCGTAGATGTGTTGACCAGGTCATTAAGTGGTCCTCGGTTTGATTTTATTTGTTCCAAACTTGGTACATACAATTTGTATGTTCCAGCTTGAGGGAGAGTGATAGAATATTTATCCTATTTATCATCATTATATTGTGTCTAGTATATATATAGTAGTACCTAGGTCTGCAGCTAGAGTTACCCTATTTATCATGTACTTTTGTATCAGAACTTTTTTGTATATAGAATGAGAGTGAGAGGGATATTTCAAGCCCTCGAGAATTATTTTACACTTTCAATCTCAACTGATTTGTCCACTTGTGTGGATTAAAAAACTCCTTCAACAGTTGAAATTTTGTGAAGTTTGAGCAAATGAAGTTGTATTGTAACAATTATGGGCGAATGAAGTTGTATCGTTCATATTAAATCTAATCCTATGTCTCATGAAAGAATCTGGGAGAGTCACTGTCATAGGAACTATGTCCTGGATTTATTAGCGGTAACAACCAGCTTGCATACAATCTCATTAACTCCTTGAGAGGGCCCTAGAATTCAGTTTATACATTTCAAGCTTGTTGCATACAATTTATATGCTCCAGCTTGAGTGTGAGTGTTAAGATTATGATTGTTATAGTAGTTTACAGCTTCACTCAATCCTTGAGAGGGTCTAGGATTCAATTTATTCATTCCAAGCTTGGTGCATACCATTTATACGTTCCAGCTTGAGTGTGAATATTAAAATTATGTTTGCTACAGCTTACATAAAGCTGTTTGCATAAAGTTGTTTGTGGGAGAACCTAACTTTAGGTTAAGGAACATAAGTTGTAACCTTCCACCTCCTGACATATTTGTACCCATCCCTTTATATATATACAAATACATTGGCTGAGCATTAACTCATGGATTTTTCATCACATTTAAGCGCTACAATACAAGTTCCTCGGTTCCTCTTCAAGACTATATACAATAGGATGCAAATGAGTCAATCAAAGAAAATTTAGATGGCAGTATCAAAGAAAACGTTTGACTGGTAGCACAGGGATTTCACCATCAAAGCAACTTGGACTACACTAGCCCTTCTCTCTAGTTCTTAAACTTGTGACAGTTCATATAAACCTCAACTTGGCACTTCCACATCAAAGAAGGAATGTAAAATATTTGCATTTAACCCACCCAACTATATTACACTTAATCAAGAAAATGAAATGTTAAAACCAACCAAATTTCATAAGAACATTCTTTCTACTTCGTTCAATAAATAAGCTAATGGACTTCTAGTTGAAATGTTAAAACAGAGCAAGAACATACTTTGGTCAGTGTAGTCAAAATACTCCAATAGATGGGATATGACAGCTTTTTTCGTGCGGATATCTCTAATCTGAAAAAATCATAAAATAATTTCAGGCCAAAATAATATCAGATAGAAAAATTTAATACTCAATAAAATGATAGACACTGGTTAAGCATCCCAGTCCTTTACTAAAAAGTAGCAACAGTACAGATATGTGGCCAACCAATGCTTACAGGCAGATTACCAGATGGGCAAAGAAGCCTGCACGAAATTATTCTGAGAAACGAGATTTTTTTTTTAATAAAAAGACAATGGAACTGGAAGGGGTTTTAATAAAAATCATGAAAACAAAATTTCACTTCAAATAATCCAGCATTAATCAGATGAAAATAGTTCCATACTTGCATTAATAATTATTTTAATTAGTATTCAACTAAGGCAATACCTATAAATATTAAAAGGGAGGATATACAAGTATTTTAATGCTAACAGAATTTACATTAGTTTAGATTAATGAATTTAATTTCTTTAATGAGCTAATACACTAAGCACAAGAGCTAATAAAAGTCTAATTGGAGACCCAAGTAACAACAATAATATACAATTCGGTTACTTGATCAGCTAAATTTTTTCCACTTGAACTGCATACAAAACAGACAGGTTACCTCAGAAAATCAAAACTGTTGTTCATAGCAGACAGAGTCTATCACCAAATTTGGTAGAAATGTTTAACCAAAGAGGTCTCATTCAAATCATAAGTTAGCGTTTGAAAAAGATGTGAGAAAACTTAGTAACCGTGTCTAAAGAACATTTAATGAAAGGGAATAGTCTCTTAAGTTTGAACAGTCAGAGTGTTAGGAATAAAACACTCTAAAAGCATCTATATCTGAAGAAAATATGACCGAAAAATAAATTAAGTTTTTCCACAAACTAAAATTAGCTTATACATAAGTTAAGATCAGCTTCGGATAAGCTACTATGAGAAAGTTTCTATAAATTAACATATATATGTACTAATTTAAGTTCTGGAGAAACTTATTTATTTTTCCTTTTACTTTTATTTGGTAAGGCATCTATAGAGAAGTTTATCCACACAGACATTGTATAGTATTTTTCAAGCCATACACGTTTCTACCACTGTCATAACCAAAACAGCAAAACCAGCTGCCATGAGAACAACATAATACATTACCACAATATAGAAGATTGTTGTTTAAAAGTAAGATTTAAATAAGTGTTTGGTACCTCCAAATTGGTCTATATTAAAATTGGTACCTCCAAAAACACCTCAATGTTCTTGAAACCCAACATTTAATAATGTGGTCTTAACAATTCTCAATTTTGGAGATGCCAAAAACTCATTTAATTCTAAATATAATAATTCAAAGAACCACAAATTTCACAGAAACTTGGTTGTATTTTTAGTAAAATGTACATTTGATAAAATTGTCTCATAAGAAGCCAATTCCAATCTTAGAGTCTCTTTCTTATTTTAGTTCCTGTGCCTATCACATCAACACCACAAAAGTTAGAGAAGGAAGAATTTGCATACCTTGCAACGAAACCATGCACCCCGAAAACCACTTTGAAAGGACTTTGACTCAGCCAAATCCCCAACTTGGAATGGAAGATCAGGCATCACTGATAGGTACTTCCACTCTTTGCTTCTTTAAAACAAAAATCTTGATCTAATAAGGCTGAAAAGATTATAATATAATACAATTGTTAAACAACCCTTTTTCAGCTTTTCAACTTAAGTAACTAAGTGGATTGAGCTCTTGATAAAATAGTGCATAGATATACAGGACAACAAAGTAATAAAAATTATATAATAAAACTATATGTGAATAAAAATATTGTTACACTTTAACTAAGCACAACAAATAGAGCAAATTAGCTTTTTTCAAAAACTAAATCCCGATCAATCAGGAAAGTAGCTTTTCAATTTCTGACAACACAACAATGTTGAAAAGATGGGAAAAGGATAACGATCCTAAATTCCCCAAGTAGCACCATCTCCACACCTTGGAACAGCAACACCACATAACCCTAATTAAGCCTACAAAAGGATCAAGACAAACAAGCATTAAAAGAAATGGCAACATCAGAGAATGACAGAATCTGCTGTCAACTATATCAACCCATGGAAAAAGGTATAAAAAAGAATATATATATATATATATATATATATATATATATATATATATATCCACCTTAATTTACATTTTCTTCAAACAGATTTCATAAGTATATATGGTTTACTTAGTTAGGAACGACATTAGAGGTACACATACTTTACATATGTCAAGCCGATAACAGGGTTATGCACTTTGAAGCAATTAAAAAACTATAAATAGAGAGGTCAAGTTCCTCCTAGGGTAATACTAAGTACTCCTTGCCCTAATCATTAGTAACTCATTAAGTTACTAATCTTAAACGAAAATAAAATAAGGGAAATATCTTTAAAATCATTCAGAAAATATATCTATATCTATCTACCCATGTTTATATATATATATATATATATATATATATATATATATAGACACATGCACGCGCGTACCCTAATGAGTAATTAATCTTTACCCTTGTGAGAATGCATTGCTTTCATATCAGTTGGAAGAACGAAAACATGAAAACTACTCTGTTCGAGGATAGGAGAGATAAGGAAAAAACTGTAAAATGGACCCAAATCAGTTTCGACTGGGAATCTTTGACACTGATTAGGGAAAATGACGATGCGAGAAACCTCTACCGTGATGCTATGTAGCAAATTATGAAGGTAGACGAATAAGGTTGATGAGTAACTAGCTAGCAACCGGTTAAAATAGCAATCAAGAAAGAACTATATACCAGATTCTCAGATGGAATTGCACAGTACAGAACACATATACACCATGCAGTAGCAACGAAAAACTCAGGGAATAAGGTACACGCACCGACGAATGGTTTGTCCGTAAACCCCGTTAATTTTCGTTGAGGGGAAAAGTAATAATTTGTTGTTCTCACAAAAACAATGAATTTATACACTTCAAAGTTCAACTACACTCAGTTTTGGAATTTGAAGAGTGACTCAAGATCTCTATTACAGAGTCAGGTTTTTTATGTTTTGTTCTAGTCTGTTACAAAAACAGAACACGATCGTAAAAGGGAATATACATACATATATATATAAATATATATATATATATAGATATATATATCGATATACTACATATATAATATATATATATATATATATTCCATCTCTTTTTCTGGAGGTAATTAAAAAAGTAATTGAATCGTACAGTTTGTGCGTGTGAAAGCGTACCTGCGGTAGCTGTGAGTCTCCGGAGTAAGTGGATCAGTGAGATCGGTGAGTGTGTGGCCGTGTGAGTGGCAGAAAGTATAACCCTAACAATCTCTGGACCTGGCCACAACAACCAGTGCACAAAGGGAAGAAGCGACGAAGATTGCCACGTTCTTTGGGATAACAGCCCGTTTCATTTTGAAGCTTCCAAATTACCCTTTTTTTTATTATATCTTCGGTCTACTGTATTTTGTAAACTTGTTTAAAAATAGCTTTCTTTTCTTAATATATTTTTTTGTTTTATATTGTGTCAACTTTGTTGATACTATTTTTCTTTGTTAATTACTTTTAATTTTGTCAATTAATGTTCATATTTAATATTTTTGTAACAGCGTCTAATCATTAACGGCTAAGTGGTCAACGTAGTAATTATCATAATTATTAATTACGTGACCACTTAAACATACAGTGATGTGGATTCGTGATATTTGAGTGTTTCTGGAAATTTCATCAAACATTTTGAGTTAGCGAGTTCCAAAATATTGAGTTTTTGAAGTGCAGAAGGTTTTATGGTGATTTGGTGGGAAAATCTCCGAGAAATCAAACATAAGTGACTTTAATCGTTTCAATTGGAGCATTGATTTGTGCCTGGTCAGGTTTGCATTCTTAATTTATGCTTTGGTTTCTTATACTAGGGTTTATGATTTTTGTCATATTGTGTTGGCTATTGTTTGTTTTACATTTTGGTGAGGTGATGTTTTGAAGAATTGTAAAATAGTTGATGTGTAGAAAACAACTTTGTATTGGTGAAAATGTTATAAAATCAATTGCAAATCAATTTAAGATACTAGCGAGTGACTTTTGAATGATTAAACCGTGTGGAAGCTTGACTTCACAAATTTTCCCTCTCTTGCATTAGATCTAACCTCCAACATGCAACTTCAGATGATCAATTCCTGGGAGATTGCTTAGGTGTAACTATAGGTCCATTACTGGCATCTATAGCCTATGATCGCCACCCTTTGGTATGATTCCTCAATGACGTCTTGTCCAGTTCACCTGCATTAAAATCAAGTGTTTATGATGGTGTTGTTGAGTGTGGTTAACTGTCTAATGATTCTTTGAGCCATTGCGTTTTGGTCTGGACCAGGTGAAGGAGCAGATGATATGTTTATAACTAAAGAAGACTAGCATTTGTAGTAGCTTTAGATGTTGAAGATGCTCCATCAATAGAACACCCAAATTTCAAACTTATTAGTATCTTACGCAGTTCCATTCAACTTCCAACTCATTCTGATAAAATTCTCCCGGGGTTGGCGCATCCGCTTGAAGTTGTTTCCTCTATTTTTTTTCCTTTGTTCTTGATTTGGAGAAAGATTTCACGTAAGAAATGAGTAATAAATGTTATTGGGTCTACTCCCAAGAAAGAGAGGTACATCACAATGGACAACTTAAATACCAAGTCTTTCCTAACCAGAGTATTCTCGAACTAATCTCAAGAGAAAATCTTAAACAAAACAAAAGCAAAGACTTTGCTAACAAATTAAAAATGACTAAAGGCTAAAAAAACTCAAATTAAATTAAATGAATTTGCGTTAAAAAAACAAAATAAAAATGAATAAATAAACAAATAAGAATAAAAACATTAAAAATATTAACCGTACTCCCCAACAACGACACCAAATTTGATATGTTGTCGTTAACACTATCAAATTACTAATACTTAATAAGACAACTTCAGTATTGTCAAGTTAGTAATTAACATACTAGATAGGGTTAAGTTAGCCCTGATTCGTTTCCGCAACAAATATAGAAATGCTTTTCAAAAATTAAATTTGAAATCCCTCAAAAGGTTGTGTAAAACACATTGGCAATTCTAAAAGATCAAAGTAAAGATCTATTCTAATGAAATTGATATTGAAGATTATTTAAGTGTGAATTTAATGAAGTAACAAATAAAAGACTTTAAAACAATTGTAGTGAATAGGCTAATTCCACTACTTTTCTAAAATAGATTCATTATCGGTTAACCATAAATTATTGTTCAATTGATTATTGCTTTTTGATTTCAAATTAATTAAAGTATATTCTTAATTAATTTGATGGCAATCTTACTATTAACCAACGTAGATTTTGAACCTTTCTAGATTATTCATAATGAATTCAACCAAAGTACATTCTAATTAAATCTTATTAAGTTTAATTGTATATATTCTTTTATCTCCAAATCAAGTTAAAAGTTAATTAATCAAAGTACATTCTTGACTACTTATTGTTAAAAATTTTACCACTAATCAAAGTACATTCTCTCAATTGGTAGTAAAAACTCATTCAATCATACGAAAGTTCCTAAATTCAATTAAAGTATATTCTCAACCAAAATTAAAAACCTTTTGACTTATATGATCAGTATGCATGTAGATTAAAACAACCCCTACGAATTCAACTATGATGTAAAAAACCTATTTAATGTTTGACGTGATTGGTGATAAAAATACATAAAAAACAGATAACTCAAATCAATAATAAAAAGAAATAAAGACATCATTTCAACCTAACCTCAGTATCCATATTGAAATTATAGTGGAACAACCATAGAAGATTAGCCCTCCATGGTTGGAGTGGAATAAATGATGAATAAAAATAAAAGTAAGAGAAAGAGGTATAGGTGATGACTGCTGCTCCAAACTAGAGTTGTTAATTCCCTCTTCTATTTTCCCTTGGTCCCTTTATATAGAGCTCGATGGGCTTAGATTCTAACTTTTCTATTGATGAAATCTCTTATCTGATAATGTAATATCATCATAATATTTAATATATTTAATCAGTTTTAAAAATATTTGACAGATATTTCTGTTGATATTTTCATATATAATTAAATTAATTATTTTTTAAAATATCTAATAAATTATCAACAACTGAAATTTTCCCAAAATCCCAATTTAGCCCTTCTTATTTTGTCTAAAATTGTAGATAACTCAAAAGATATTGATATTTTCATTTTAGGCCCTTTTGTTTGACCATAATTGAGACTTTGACCAGATTGCTCCCGGGATTACCACGTGATAGTTCAATGGTGTTGGTTGATGGAGACGAAGGTTTGCGAAGTGATGATTGCTGGTGGTGTCACGATATAGTGGTGACACGATGATCTAGGTGGCTTTCGCAATTCACGATTTGGGCTTCGCGTTTTGAGATTTTGGACTGGTTATGTAATGTTTTCAATTCACAGGTTTCGTGGTAAGAGGAAGATGATGGACATGAGGCTCGAGGTTTAGGGTTTGGATGCTGTGATTTGGATTTCTCAAAGGTTCACAGTGGTGGATGAGAGGTGGAAAATGGTGACTGAGGTGGTGGATTCTATTACCAATAAGGAGCATTAGTATCTTGAAGATAATGATTTTGATGATGTTACAAAGTGAAGAATAAGAAGACTTATGTTGTATGAGTTTAAAAGCATTTATGTATAAGAGAAGACATCAAGACCGAACGGTAGACGACATGACCAAGATCGAACGGTAGAAGGCATGAACGAGACCGAGCGGTTGGAAGGTGAAGTGGTGGTAGAAAGAATTGAACATGGCAACCGAGTAGAGGCATCTTTGAAACCAAACGATCACTACCAGTTAATGGCCGAACACAGATGCAAGCCAAACAACTACAACCAAACGAAGGCCAAACACAACTGAAGGCAGAACACTGTTCATAGTCGAACATTGTTCAAGACCGAACGAAGTTAATTATTGGCGAAACTCAATTGAATATCGAACAGTCACTAACAGTGGCTAAATACAAGTTGTGGACCGAACGATGTCTAACACAAGCCGAACGAAATTGTGTCCAACTAACAGTGTAAAAAAATGTTAAGAGTTGGAAAGTTTACAAGTATTGAGCCGAGCGGTGGAAAGCATAATCGAGACCGAGCAGTTACCACCGAACGCTGAAAAGCTGTAAGGAGACAAGCCGAACGACAGAAGGCAATCAGGGCTCAAACCGAACGGCAGAAGGTAATCAGGGCTCAACCGAGCGGCAGAAGGTGAAGAACTCAAGTCAACCGGTTGACGAGTTAAATATCCTAACCGGTCCAAGTCTCGCATATAATCGATTATTACTTATAATAATCGATTATCACTAGCAGTTGAAATGCGTCTTTTCATTTTCAGAGCAATAGATCATAAATCTCTTTGCTAGAACCTTCAAAAGACAACTTTGCGAATTTGAGAATACAATGTAATCTGAGGAACTTGTCAAATGCTAGTTCTTACTCTTGTCAAGTATTGTGAATAGGAGAAGCTCACGCTTTATGTGTCAAAGGTCGAAGTAGTTCTCTTCAAGATGGCAAAGTTGTTGCTTCCGGTTCATTTGTCGAAGGAAGGTTCTTGCTCACTCTTCAAGTTCGTTTGTCGAAGGAAGGTGTTTTTGTTATTGTTATTTTCTATTCACTTTCATTGTAATTGTGAAACTGTTTTAGTGAAAAAGTTAATCACTATTCATAGTGATTAATGACTGGACGTAGAATCTTTTGATTCAAACTAGGATAAAAACTATTTGTGTGATTTTTCTACTCCTTACACTCTTATATTTTCTGCTCATCAAATGTTTGATAAAAAGTTTATAAGAAAATTAAAAGAACCATTTTTTAAATTGACCGAACAAGCTCTTTGCTTTTAACAATTTGTATTGTACTCTGTTTTAATATTTCCGCTGCATAAAATCGGTACTGGTTGTTTCAACAGATTCAAGGTTCCCTATTGTCGCGATTTGGGGGTTTTGGTTCGTGATTTGATATGGCGCTGGTTTTTGATTTTTTTCTTATTGTAAGTGTGGTTTCCATGGTGGCGCAATGGTTCACGATGTCATAGCGTTTGGTTTCACGATGTTGGAACTTGTTGACGACGTCAATGGAGAAGACAAATAGCGACGCAACGAAGGAGGTGATTTTTGTAGGTTTGAGGTGCGATGATGGGTTTCGCGAATGTCCAAGGAAGATGTTGTGGTGGCGCGACTTGTAAACAACGACATCATTCTAGATTTGTTTTTTGTGTGTCGCCAGTGTTGTTCCGACATGGTGGTTGTCGATCTAGTTTTTTTATGCAGGTTGGGATGAAGATGATGATGATGTGGAAACCTACCATTCGTTTGGCTTGTGTGTTTAGGATGTTGCCACGTGGCAATATCTGGTTGAATATTCTTTTATAAGTAGTAGGACGGGTGTAAATGGACATATAGGGGGTGTAGAACAAATTTTGTGGTTGGCCCATTTGGAAATGTAGTGTATAAGTAAAATGTAGGACATATTTTTTCCAGAATTTATGATTTCATATTTGTTTTATAACTCAGAACAATTTAATTTCACATTTTGAATTAATCAAAATTTAACTTTAGCTACATCAACAAACAATAGAATATCCAAAAATAATTTGTGCAACTAAAAATAAGTTTTTAAGAACTTTTAATCCCCAAACTCGATAAGTCCGATTGTCACAAATTCTATTCAAATCAATTATTTAAACACAAAAATTTATATCAAAATTTTGAAATTAAACCTAAAATATGGGCATAAATATGCACTCATCCTAAAGTGCTATCAATAATATCTAAAACTAAAGTCATAAAGGTCACTTCGAAGTCTCTCAAATCTGCCCAGAGTGCTGATATTTTTAAACTCTGACAATGTGGCTCAAGCGGTGATCCATGGCTCCAGCCATGAGGTTTCCTCCCATTGTGAGTTTCCTTGATGGCTTAAGCTGTGAATATTTAGGTTGGAGTTACCTGACATTACTTCATAGTGAAGAATTCTCCATGGCTCAAGCCTCAGGCTAGGATTAAAGGACATCTTCTTTGTTGGGTTTTCTTTGTGCTCAAGCCTTAAAAAATGGCGTTGCAGTCGTGTTGTGGTAGATTTCATTAAAAGTGTTTGAATTCTTCTTCTTTCTTTAAAATGCATGCTTAACTCCCTGGATTCTTCTAATCTTACAAAACGAGTGAAATTTTTGTAGCTATCAAACATTTTATACAAAATCAAAGCAAGATAAGTGTCAAATCATCATTGAAATCTACTAATACTAGGCACTTGTCAAACTAGAGGTAAATTTGCCGCCAATTGGGAAGGTCTCTTTCATGTGGAAGACTCTCTCTAAAATGATCCTTACAAATTAGAAGAGCTTGGAGGAAAGCTCGTCCCAAGAACATGGAACGCCACACACTTGAAAGCCTATTACAACTAAATGTGTCATGTTATATGAGCCTTTTTCTTATCATCTTTGCTTTTAACTTTTAAAGATGTATTATAAGGATGTGTGTACTCTTTTTTATTCGACCAAATTTTTCCCTGAGGTGGGTTTTGTCGGGCAAGATTTTAATGACACATACCTTGATTTCTAATAAAAACCCCCCTTTTTGATTCATGTTCATTCCATAGAAAAACACAAAGTTGACAATCAAAGTTATTAGATTATAACATAAGAAAAAGACCACAGAGTTGACACTTAAAATTACTAGATTGTAACATGAGAAAAAGACTACAAAGTTAGCACTCACAATTACTAGATTTTAAAATGAGGAAAAGACCATAGAGTATTAAGACAAGATCGTCTAAAGAATAGACTGTCTAAGCAATCTAGGTTTTAAAGTTTAACAAAAAGCGCTAAATGAAATATTATTGTATACGAAAAGTTGTTTAAAATAGTAGCGTCCAATGAAGAGATATTTTATAATGTTTGAAGTCAATCTTATAAATAACATTTTCTAGACCAAACTATTTAAATGAATCAAAAAATCATAAACAACATCTGAAAGCAAGTATCTCTCTTTGAAATCATCTAATAGACTATATAAGCAAAACAAGCTAACGTCTTATGAAAACAAAAGTATGTCTCTTATATAACACTAAAGTTAAAAGAAGTCTTTATTCAATACAATGTTATATCAAGCAAAGCATTCTAAAGAAAATATTGTCTGATGAATGGCCACTAAATGCTTTAGCCTTTGAAAAAGCATCTTATATTTATACCATCTAATGATTATACATGTTATATGTCTTACCAAATGATGCATTTATGAATGAAATGAAAAATGATAAAATGTCTTGAACACACTACACTATCTAACGCTTATCAACGTTCAAAACATTTAATATATGTACGAAAAAGTAATTTAATGCTTGTATACTTTGTTTCTTGATATTCATGTAGACTAATAAAGTAGAAGATATGATCAGAATCACCGTACCGAAGAAAAAGATATTGTGAGAGAAGAAAAACATTATGAGAAGGTTTCCTTTGAAGCCATCTACTTTGTCACATCGTACAAGCTCAAGCTTCACTTAAGGCTATAAGAAAAAGCTTTAAACCTTACAAAGTAGACTAAAGTCTGACTTCACATCTAAAGGCTACTAGTTCTCCAAAAGTCAACTTTTATGTCTAACGGTCATCGTTCAAGAGAACTATATATATAGAAGACAACTTGAAGAGAAGTAGTCGTTGATGATAGCGCTAGAAAGATAACATAAGAAGAATATAAACGTGAAAAAGGAATAAAAAGAAAAGCTTGTAGTGCTTATATATCGTTTGAAGCTCAATATCTTTTGAGAGAAAAATCTTAGCAAAATATTGAACACCTCATACTGTCTATATCCTCTCCTTGAGAGTTATCATTTGTACTTTTATTCTTAACACTGCTTGTGTTGTAAATTTTGAAGAGAATTAAAACACTTGTCTATACGTGTTGTATAGGTTTAAACTAGAAGTGGTTAAACTTAGTCTAGTCGTGTTGACTAGGGAACCAAGAGTGGTTAGAATACTTATTGTAAACCAAGAGTGATGAGAATACTCGGTGAGATTATGGAGAGGTAAAACTCATGTAATCTTGAAAAATATTAGTGGAATATCTTAAGAGTTCTTACGGGAGAACTTGATGTAACTCAGATTGAGTGAACTAGTATAAAAATTTGTGGTTTATTGCTTTCCTATTCAGAACGTTTTCCATTTACTCATCTTATAAAACCCAACATACGAACATCTTATAATAGTTATACATTCTCTTTAAAAATTATTAGACACTGCTTTGTGAAATAATTTAAAAAACACTATTCACCCCCTTTAGTGTTTTTCCTATGCTTTCACGGAGTTTACACTCAAAGTTACTAAATTGTAACATAAGTAAAAGACTATAGAATTGGCACTCAAAGTTACTCGATTGTAACATGAGAAAGAACCACGAAGTTGACAATTAAAGTTACTAGATTGTAATATGAGAAAAAAAACCACGGAGTTGGCACTCAAAGTTACTAGATTTTAACATGAGAAAAAGAACACGGAGTTGACACTCAAGTTATTAGAATTGTCACATGAAAACAAATTACTAGAACTGCAACATAAGAAAAACCTTCAAGAAAGACACTAAAAGCCCTTCAATTAGGGCAAATCAACAAAATCAATAAAATGAAAGCTACCGGGTACATAGGAGCTCGACATCCCAATAATTAACTACAAAAATGAAAGCTATCAGATACAAAGGAGCTCAACATCTCAATAATCGAGTACAAAAATAAAAGCTACTGAGTATAGAAGAGCTCGACATCTTAATAAACAAGTAAAAAATGAAAGCTACCAGGTACAAAGGAGTTCCACATCCCGTGTCCAAAATACAAAAATGAAAGCTAATTAGCATTACAATACACGAATCACCTAGGCCATCCATCTCGTTCTTCACCTTATCCACTTTCACTTAAATTCTTACAAAATGCATTTTAAAAAAGTTCTAATGGTTTGTTAAGAAAATTAATGATCACTTCCAAACTTAACATATTGTTTTAATTCATTATAAATAAAAATATTTAATTATAATTTAAGTTAATATATATATATATATATATATATAGATTTTTTAATACTTTATTCATAATTATTATTTTTTTAATTCAAAATTACATATAAAGTTAATTAATTTTAGGGTTAAATATGTTTTTAGTCCCTAAACTATTGGCCGTTTCTGGTTTTCGTCCCTCTTCCAAAGTAAGGTACAATTTAGTCCTCAATCTTTAAAAAACGTTCGTTTTAGTCGAAAAAACGAACGTTTTGAGGACTAAAACGAGGACTAAAAACAAAATTTTGAGGACTAAAACGAACGTTTTTCTAAAGAATGAGGACCAAATTGTACCTTACTTTGGAAGAGGGACGAAAACCAAAAACGGTCAATAGTTTAGGAACTAAAAACATATTTAACCCTAGATTTTTTAATACTTTATTCATAATTATTATTTTTTTAATTCAAAATTACAAATAAAGTTAATTAATTTTATATTTGTTATAAAAAATATTTATATTATTAAATATTAAAATGTTATAAAATAATATAGTTATTTATAATTGTTAATAAAAAGCAAGATCATTATATTTTTACAAATATTTCATTAATTATAATATTAAAATTTATTTACCATTTTCGTGCATTCCACGGTATAGGAGCTAGTTGATTTAGATATAGCTGCATTGCCGACTATTTGACGCTTATCAGCAATATCGATAGCAATTGGCAGATCTGATCTATCTGAAGGTTTCACCAACTGGTGATGAGGATGAGGTCTTCATCTTGCTCCTTCTTCCTCCTCCTCGTACTGGGCCTTCTCCCCTTGTCCCTCTCAGAGATCCGCTTCTCTGAGGTTCGAAACGACGATCGGCCCATTGTTCCCTTCGATCAGTTTGGGTTCACCCACAAGGGTCGTCTTGAGCTCGATGTTTCCAGAATATCCCTCTCCAATTCCAATTTGGACCTCTCAAAGGTTGGCTTCTTTCTCTGCACCCTGGATTCTTGGCTCCATGTCCTCCAGCAGCTGGAGGATGGTGAGATTCGGTGCACCCTTCAATCGGATCTCGTGAAGTCCGTATACACCTTTAATTCTCTGAACGGCAAAGAGTCTTTCAACATCGAGTACAAAGAAAACGACGCCGATCAGTACAACCTGGTGTTCGCCAACTGCCACCCTCAGCAGCTGAAAGTGAGCATGGATGTTAAATCTGCCATGTACAATCTGGACGGAAGGAGCAACACCCGCGATTACCTTTCTGCTGGGAGAACCATCCTTCCCAAGGTCTATTTCCTGCTGTCGCTGGTGTATTTCGCTTTGGCTGCTATTTGGATCAGCGTGCTCTACAAGAAGCGATTGACCGCATTCCGCATCCATTACTTCATGCTTGCCGTCGTCATCTTGAAGGCTTTGAATCTCTTGTGTGAGGCCGAGGACAAATCCTACATCAAGCGCACAGGCAGCGCCCACGGCTGGGATATCATCTTTTACATCTTTAGCTTCCTCAAGGGCATTTCTCTCTTCACTCTCATTGTCTTGATTGGCACCGGCTGGTCCTTCCTCAAGCCCTTCCTTCAGGATAAGGAAAAGAAGGTTCTTATGATTGTCATCCCCCTCCAAGTCATCGCTAACATTGCTCAGGTTGTCATTGACGAGAGTGGCCCCTACGGCCACGACTGGGTTACCTGGAAACAGGTCTTCCTCCTCGTAGATGTCGTTTGTTGCTGCGCCGTGCTCTTCCCCATTGTCTGGTCCATCAAGAACCTCCGTGAGGCTGCCAGGACCGACGGCAAGGCCGCTGTTAATTTGATGAAGCTTACCCTCTTCCGTCATTATTACATCGTCGTCATTTGTTACATTTACTTCACCAGGGTTGTGGTTTATGCCTTGGAGACCATAACATCCTATCGCTATTCTTGGACCAGTGTGGTTGCTGCTGAGTTAGCCACGCTTGCTTTCTACATCTTCACCGGCTACAAGTTCAAACCTGAAGCTCACAATCCTTATTTTGTCATCGATGACGAAGAGGAAGAGGCTGCTGCCGAGTCATTGAAGCTTGAAGATGAATTTGAATTGTAATTCTGTCAAAATACAAAAACATTGAGCTTTTCCCGATTCAGGTGTTGAACAACTCGGTACGATGTTCAGCAATGCTCAGGTTTCATCTCAACGACAGTTAGAAATTTTTAAGTTACATTTTATGGATATAGTCATTATTCATAAATCATTGTTCTATATTTTGTGTTCTGGACTCATGCCAGTTTTTTGAACTAGTGTCATAATATCCTAAAACCCTTGTGTAGTGCTATGAACATATATCACGTCGTCTAAGTATTGATACGGATACCTTACAAACATTTTTTTGTCATGATTGTTTTTATTATAATTATCTTCTACCTTCAAACTTCGGTTGCATTGGAATTTGTTCGACCATTAGTACCATTACTCTAAATTTATCGGAAGCATTGGTATTATCACTGGACTTCTGAGTTTTCTTGAAGGTATAGGCAGAAGTGTCAAATCAGCTTCATCCCTGCGCTAATAGTATGAAAGAATCACGGTTGTTGTTGTGGAATTTTATCGATACAATAGGAAATCCGGTATCCTAGGTTTGGGGTTGGGAAGGGGAAATTCTAAAGTGGGTACCTGGGCCCTAGCAGCATCTATCCCCCAACCCTGTTCAAGACAAAACTTAATGAAGTCTTGTTCTGATGTGAGAAGGAATGCAGTGACACTCCAATTCTATTATAGAAATGGAGGATTGGATCCTCCGGAGAATGTAAGAAGTACAATTGGGGTTCTTTTTCACTAGTGAGTCTGTTAGCAATTCAGGTAGGAATTCTAACTCACTCGCACTCTTACCCTCACGGAAGACAAATACCACGGAGTATGGGATGAATAATGGGTGTGTATTCACAAGAAAGAAACTAGAATACAGAATAGTCCAGGAGCTTAACCTCCTTCACCAGGTGCTAAGACCGGTCAACAAATCAACAAATATCTAACTGATACAACAAAGAGGTCCTTATATAGGCCTCTTTCCCCAAACCCACTTAACTGACTAGCAGTTAAGTCCTCTGTTTTCCCTTTCTTCTCTCATAGACCCTCCATTCTCTAACATTACTCCCCCTGAAAACTGACCTTGTCCTCAAGGTCGAACTCGGGGAATTGTTCCTGCATCAATCTCCGATCCTCCCACGTTGCACTGTCTGCCCCTCCATCTTGCCACTCTATCAAAACTTGTTCACATTGTTCCCCCTCTTGCTGTTGGACTCTTCTATTCAACACATTAGTTGGCCAGCACGTATATCCCCCGACTTGCAAATCTGCTGGCAGCTCAGCTTCCACGTGCTTCGTCCCAATCGCCAATTTTAGCTGAGATACGTGGAAAACCGGGTGAATCTTGGCGGTCGCAGGCAATTCTAATTTGAACGCACTTCCCCTATCTTCTGGAGCACCTTGAACGGCCCATAGTATCTAGCCGTTAACTTCGGATGCAATTTCACCGACATAGAGGTTTGTCGGTGGGGCCTTATCTTTAGAAACACCCAATCATCTACCTTAATGGTTATTGGCCTCCTCTTACGATTTTCTTGCTTCACCATCGCGTCTTGCGCCTTTGACAAATGATATCGCAGCTGTTGCAACGCTTCATCTCTTGTTTGTAATTCTTGGGCCACGGCTTCCACCATTGTTTCTCCCGGAATAAACCTTGACAACGATGGCGGGACTCTCCCATACACCGCTTCAAACGGCGTGCATTTGGCAGCTCCTTGGTAGCTGGTGTTGTACCAGTACTCCGCCCATGGAAGGACCACGCTCCATGTCTTAGGCTGCTCGGAACAGAAACATCGTAAGTATCCCTCCAGCACCCCGTTCAACACCTCTGTTTGGCCGTCCGTCTCCGGATGGTAGGCTGTGCTCATCCGGAGATGGGTCCCCTGCATCTTAAACATCTCTCTCCAAAATGCACTGAGAAATAAGGGGTCACGATCACTCACTATGGTCTTTGGATTTTGGATTTTGGGTCATGGCCTTTGGATTTTGGGTCATCGACAACCACCAATATAGCGTCATGGCCTTTGGATTTTGGGAGCCGCACAATAAAGTCCATGCTGATGTCCTCCCATATAGCTTGTGGAATGGGCAGTGGTTGCAACAGGCCCTGCGGTGACGCCGTCATGTATTTGTGCTGTTGGCACACCAAACAGCGATTGACATACTCTGTCACTGATTTCTTCATCCCGTCCCAGTGCAGCGACTGTGCCAATCTCCGGTAAGTTCTATAGACTCCCGAATGGCCCCCCGTCGGTGTTGTATGAAACTCGGCCAACAATTTCTGTACCCACTCAGACTTTGCCAGAATAACCAGCCTCCCCTTGTAGTGCAACCGTCCGTTTTCAATGGTGTAAGCCGGGTATTTGTTGGGATCCTGTGTGACTCCTTCTCTGATTTTATTCAAGTTATCATCTTCCTCCACTTCTCGCATCACGTCTTGAAAATCTTGCCAATACGGCCTCATTATCCCCATCAATTCAACACCCCCGTCGTCCCCTTCGATCTCAGCCTCGCCCTCCAACTCCTCGCTGCCTTTTCGTGACAGCGCGTCAGCCACCCGGTTGCTGGCTCCCGTTTTATACACTGTCGAAATCGTAGCCAAGCAGTTTGGCTATCCAGTGTTGCTGCGCTTGGGTCGTCACCCTCTGTTCCAACAGAAACTTTAGACTTCTTTGATCCGTATACACCACGAATTTTTGGCCCAACAAATACGGTCTCCAGTGTTGCACCGCCAGGGCCACCGCCATCAACTCTTTCTCGTAGATCGACTTGCCCAAGGTCACTTCCGATAATGCTTTGCTGAAGTAAGCTATCGGTCTCCTTTTCTGGGTGAGCACCGCCCTATCCCCGTGCCCGACGCGTCGCATTCTACCTGGAAGGGTTGCGAGAAGTCCGGCAACGCCAACACCGGTGCGGTGGTCACCGCTATTTTCAATCTTCCCATCGCTTCCCTGGCAGTCTCAGTCCACGCAAAACTCCCCTTTTTCAACATCTCTGTAAGGGGCTTGGCTATCTTCCCATAGTCTCGAATGAATCGTCGGTAATATCCGGTGAGACCCAAGAATCCCCTCAACGCCTTCAACGTTTTTGGTTCTTCCCACGCGATTACCCCCTCTATCTTCTCCTGATCCATCTGGACCCCCTCCCCTGATATGACATGCCCCAAATATCTGATCGTCTTCTTCCCGAACTCTCTTCTTCTTATTGGCCACCCAGTGATGTTGCTGTAAACAGCTCAACACCTGCTCAACGTGTTGTAAATGCTCACCCCAAGTTGCACTGTAGATGAGTATGTCGTCAAAAAATACGAGCACGAATCTTCGTAGGTATGTTCTGAGGAGATCGTTCATGGTGCTCTGGAAGGTTGAGGGGGCATTTGTGAGGCCGAATGACATCACAAGAAACTCGTAATGTCCCAAGTGAGTGCGGAACGCCGTTTTCTACACGTCATCCTCATTCATCCTAATATGGTGATACCCAGCATTGATGTCCACCTTTGAAAAATACCGAGCGCCGTGGAGCTCGTCCAGCAGCTCTTCGATCATTGGAATCGGAAACTTGTTGGGAACAGTGGCGCGGTTGAGCGCTCGGTAGTCGATACAGAATCGCCAACTCCCATCCTTCTTCTTGACGAGGATGACCGTACTTGAATATGGACTTATACTCGGTCGTATAATCCCTGCATGCAGCATTTCCGACACCTGTCGCTCGATCTCTTCCTTCATGGCGTGCGGGTAACAATATGGATGTACGTTTACGGGGTCGGTGCCTTCTTTTAACGTAATCCGATGCTTCTCTTTTTTATTAGGTGGCAAACCTTGGGGTTCCTAAAATACCCTTGCATGTCGTGTTAAAATTCTCTCCAAGTCCCCGTTCCGCTCTTCAGCCGACTCTTCTTTCTCTACCTCCTTCTTGCTCCCCTTCTCGCCCTCCAAGCTCCAGACGATCGCCCAAGCCTCCACCTCACTTAGCTTCAGCAACTTCTCCGGTCCGACCACCCTTTTGTCCAACTTTGGATCGCCCTTAACAACCACCCTTCTCCCTGCATGTTCGAACGCCATGGTGGACTCCCGCCAGTTGAGGGTAATTTCCCCCAGCTTGGCCAGCCACTCCACGCCTAGGATCATGTCGACACCCCAGGTCGAACAAGTAAAATTTTTCCCATATCGCAACTCCCCCCATGTTGACCACTACCTTCGGGCAACATCCACGGGTCCTTTTCTTACGTCCGTCTCCCAGACTCACCTGGTAGGGAGGGGTGTCCTCCTGCGCAAGCTGCAATTCCTCCACCAACCGTCTACTCACGAAGTTGTGGCTGGCGCCACTGTCAACCAGAATGATAACGTCTTTTTCCCCCACTCGACCTTGCAGTTTCAGCGTCTTGGGCTGGGTTAATCCCCCGGCCGAAAATGCCGACAGCTCCATGCATGGGGTTTCTACTTCGACCTCCATCCCCTCGTCACCACCTTCTTCGTCTTCGGCTAATAACATCAACCGCAAACTCTTCTCCGGACACTGATGGCCAGGGCTGAAAGGTCCCCCACAACAAAAGCACCGACCTTCCTCCCGGCGTTGCAGAAACTCTGGGTAAGGTAAGTTAAGTGTGTTTCTTCCCCTGTTCTCCCCTCCGTCGACATTCCCGCTTCTCGTTGTCAAAGTCCCCGTCGCTCTGTCGTGTCTCACCGACCCACTGCTTTCGGCCGGACTCGTTCGTCCCGAAGTGCTTCTCTGTGGCTCGGTCCTAGCCACCACCGCTCCTCCGCCAGAAGGTCGCCCCCATGACGGGTTCTTGGTTCCGACCCATCCCGTCAATCCTAGACCCCGAAGAGCCTCTTCGACGTCACGCGCGATCTTCATCGCGGTCATCAGATCTCGCGGGTCGTGTGGCCTCATTTGACATCTCAACTCCTCTCGTAATCCTGCCAAAAAATATCCCAACAGTTGGTGATCAGAGAATTCCTTCGTCTGTCCCACTAACGCCTCGAATTCCCTGACGTATTCTTCCACGCTGGCCGTTTGTCGTATCGCCGCCATCCTCTCAAAAATTCCCCCACGGTGCCGGCTCTCGAATCGTATCAACAACGCTTCCTTCAGCCCCTCCCATGATTGATTCTTCGCCTTATCTTGCCAGAATTTAAACCAATACCCGACGCTCCCCTCCATACTAATGTGCGCCAACTCGACCTTCTCCTCTTCCGCCACTCTTTGGATCGCAAAAAACTTCTCTGCCCGACTAATCCAGTTCAAAGGGTCAGGTTCTTCAAAGGTGGGTAATTCCACCCTTCTTCTCCAATTGGGTAGCGTTTCAGGATGCTCCCCGCCTCCTCCTCCTCCACCATCATGGGG